TTTTTTTAATATAGGGTAGTTACCTAAAGATAAGCATGGTAAAAGGGACGATATACGTAAATTTATCATAAAAGATCTTCAGTTGGGTGCTTTGTACCTACAAGATATCAAATTTTAAAAAATGTGCTAGATCATCATCATTATCATTGTTATTATTGTTACTATATTGTTATTTTCTTAATTACTATTGTTCTGGTAAAAAGCAGGTTTTGGCGGTATGTTAGCTCACTGGTTCATACACATTAGCCCCTCCTTACAAACGCCTCTTCTCCATTTTCTGTCTTTTCTTCAGATACCTTCAGCCACCAAGCCAATGGACAACATGTGCATTAGAGTCAAGAGAACTTCTAGCGCTGTGTTTGAAGAAACTAAAAGGGTTGAATAAGGTGCTGTAGGGGTCCTCATGTCGAGTCAACTTCCAAAGATTTAGTCTTTTCTGACTGCCATACATTTACTTGTATTTTAGATTCTAGAATTGGTTGTAAGATACTTATGAAAGGCCCTTGCCAGCGATTCCCTTTATCATTTGCTCATGTCCATTATGTATCTGAGTTGATATCATTATATGAGGAAAAAATTAACTTTTGGTCAGTCAGGACACAAAGGAGTTACTGTCACTGCAACTCAGTCGGTAGAAAAGTGAGATGTACACTTTACTCTAAAGTTGAAAAGAAAATTTCAAAAATACTTTCAGGATGCTAAGATTTTGTTATATGAGGAGAAAATCATGCATTCTTTAAGGATTAGTGGCATTGCCAAGGTGTTATCTGGCACATTACTAGAATTATCATTTGTAACCCTGTTGTAACCATGTACTTATTGATAATTCATCTTACTTCAGGTTCGCTTGGTGGATGCAGGGTTTGTTTGGACAGAGCCTCATTCTAAAAGAATCAAAGTGAAGTTAACTATTCAGAAAGAGGTTTGTTGTCTTCATTGTTTTAGTGATGAATATGCCATTACTCAGAAATATTGTCTTTAAGATTCTAAGTAATTGAAAAATTAAAAAAAAAACACAACCAGAAATCATGTCCTTCATTCATATTCATCTGGTATAAAGTGTAAAACTGATTGGAAAAACTTTGTCCATTGTAGGTAGTAAATTCTACGATACTGCAACAGGTGTTTGTTGTGGAATTTGTTGTGCAAAATCAGATGTGTGATGCATGTCATCGCCAGGCCGCTCAGGATTACTGGAAGGCTGTTGTCCAAGTCAGACAGAAGGTACTGTAAACAGTACGTTTTTTTAAAGTACTCACAGTGCTTTTGGTATGGGAGAATGGGGAAACGATAATTTGACTGGGCTTTGCACTGTGGATCAAACTATATAGCTAATAGTCTTGGACAGAAATTTAATTGAGTTGAAATGTGGGTGAAATGAGAATGGAAGCATTTAGTCTTGCGAGCTCATTCGCTTATCACAACAGTGGCTTATCACAGTTTCTGTGGCATGTAGATACACAGAATGTTTTTATCCTTCCTAGATGGGGGTCAGTATTTCACAAGTATCCTATAAATAATTCAACAAGTTCTCTCAACTGTTTGAGGCTCTGAGAATTTATGGTTTTGTCCACAAACAGAACAGGATATTGTTGATGATGCTTGATTCCAGAACCTTCAATCAGGCCCTAGTTGTTTGAAGGATGGATAACGCTATCCACTGTATAATTTGCTATCAGCTGGATAGTGCGGTATTTTTGTTAACCCTTTATCAGCTGGTAGGGGTTTATCCATTAGATAGCATTATCTGCTCTTTTAACAACTGAAACTAGGAGTCCAAAGGGCTAAACACAGTGCTTTCAATAGGACCCTACACCCACCGGAGCTCTGGCAAGTATTCTGTTGTGAGTCGCTGGGTATATTTCACCATGCTCAAGTTGCGGTCACCATGCTCAGGTCACACTCGAGTCGCTCTCCAGCGGGTACTGTACCAAGGTAGTCACCTATTTCAAATCTTATCAAAAGCACGGTAAACAGTACTTAAATAAGTCTGTCTCTCTGCAAACCAAAGTATAGTTATTTCTAGGATACAATGTAATAGCTAAATGAAAAAAAAAATGTTTACTGTATTTGAGAATGCCACAAAAATATGTTTTTTGCTCTTTTAGACATCACACAGGAAGACATTCTTCTATCTTGAACAGTTGATTTTGAAACATGGAGCCCATCAGAATACTGTGAGGGTGAAGCAAGAATCAGGTATGAGAGACAAATTGGAAAAAATCACTAAAATTTGGATGACTTGGGTGGAAGGGAGGAGGTCCTAAAGTGTCTTCCCTGCTTTTGTTGTTCTACATTAATTAAATAACTTTGCTTTGTTATTAAATCACATTTAGATGGGGTGGACTTTTTCTATGCATCTAGAGCAGATGCTCGAAAGTTTGTTGAATTCCTACAGTCTGTTGTTCCATGCAGGTAAGGAGAAGTTCTGTATATTCCCCCCCCATTTGCCTTAGATTTCTTGAGATGCAGGTTCTAAGTATTTGGTTATCATATCGGTCAGTTCCCATTCACCTGTGTGCATGGCTGTTTTAGTTCATAACATTTTATTTTATTTTATTAGCTTCACCCTAAAGAATACAAAAAAAAACAAAAACAAAAAAACTTAGGAAATACAAGCCTAGTAATAAGTAATAAGAATGTAACAATACATATATCGTATTAACCAAGCGCGAGGGCCGTACTGGGAGAATATCGGCCAGAGGTCTTGACAGTAGTACAAAAAAAGACCGAGGGCCGATATTCTTCCAGTACGGTCCCGAGCAAGCTTGGTTAATAAGAGATTTATTATACAACTGAAGTTCAAAGGGACACAAGTGCGGTATCATTCGGGACCATTCAGGACAGTGCCCAGTCCAATACTGAGAGAATATTGACTGGCAATAAAGCATTTTGATTGGTTGGTTTTAGTTATTGGCCCTCTGACTGCCTGAGTCGTGTAATAAACTAATAATAACTTATAAACACACATCTATGTACTTATAGATGTGGCTGTTTTTTTCTGTTTTGATTACCATAAATCCTCTCATAAGTCCCCCTCTCTAGGGGAAGAAATTTATTAAGCCCCAACCCCCCCCCCTTAAAAAAAGTAACAATTCAAAATAACTCTCCATGTCACTAAGTATGATTAATTTATTCAAGTACTGTAATTTATTCAGGTACTGTAATTTATTCAAGTACTGTAATTTATTCAAGTACTGTAATGTTAGTTTGTCATTTAAAATTGATCATGATGATTAGTTGAGTGATGTTATCATGTTGGCATCAATAGAATATGGTATATGAAATTATAGAGCAATGCTAAAAATATAACATGGCTAAACAAGGTCCATTGAGAGAGTTAGATCATAAAATAATTATTGAGTCTTTTATGGATTTCTAAATTAATAAGCTCCACCCTCAAATAACACACCCCCTCCCCCCCTAAGTACCTGAAATAAATAAGCCCCCTGGATTTACAGTACTTAACCTTTGTAATTATTTCCAGGTACAAAACATCTGAGAAACTCATCTCCCATGACATTCACAATAACACATACAACTACAAGTACACTTTCTCCGTGGAAATTGTCCCTGTCTGCAGGGTTTGTGGAAATACTATTTTTGATTCTAGTTCAGTCAATCCACTTCATTCCAAAAATTACTCATGCGCTTGTACCATGTAGAGACCATAAATTATGGTGGTTTTTAGGTTTTTTTTATTTTTGTTGCTGAAGGAGTTCACTAAACTGCTAAAGGCTTAACATTTCACCACTCATTTTTATTTATGGAGTTTGCTGTGAGTTATTTGCTCATTGCACATGAAATATATGAACAATAAGGCAAGTCGTGTTGGAGCAACCTTGTACAAAACCAGCATCACTAAGAACATCAGAGATTTCTGAGTCAAGGTTTTCAATAAGAAATGTAATGGCACAGAGGAGAATAATGTAATTTAAAATTTTATGAAATTATATGTGGGAAATTTCTTGCTCAGGCCATAAAAACTTACTCAGAGAGTTAGGCTGGGTGGTAGCTAAGAAACATTCTGATCTACTGTGCTTAATGATAATTGACTGTGATTGCAATGATGTTTTCCAGGAGGAAGTTGTCTGTTTGCCTTTGAAAGTTTCAAGATCTCTTGGAAATATAAGGTAAAAACTTGTTCATGGGAAAAATCTTATCAGCTGGCTTGAGGTTGTGTTGACCCATTCACAACATTCTGGGGGTGGGTGGTATGTGAAAGTTTCCTAAAATACTGTAACTAAATATTGGAGTTAAAGTTTAATTTTCAACTAAGGGAAAATCATTAAAACATGACATTGGCAGTCTTAGAAGTTGATGGCTCAGTGTATGTAGCTCTCAAAACATTAAGTAACATTAAGTTTACATGTGCAAAACTTTTGGGTCTCTAAGGTGTAACAGAAGCAAATGAAACCTTTAATTTAAAAGCAGAGAAATAAATTTGTGATAGTAAAAGATTGCAAAGGAAGGAAATAAGTCATCTGAAAATTTTGAAAATAATGACTTGTTTGCCTCAGAAGAATGCTGCCAGGGTTAGAAAAACACGATTTCATTTGGTGACTGCAGAAAGAGATTTATTTGTGAGCGTTTTTTATTTAAGTCATTGCAGACTGTGTGTTGTTATCGGTGTTTAAGTCGTCATTGTTTTGTATTTTTCAGTCAAAATGTCATCTGTAACCGAGTCAGCACAAATCTACAATTTATTGATCCAGCAACATTACAAAGTAAGTTTCCACATTAGAGCCCTGGTTTTCTTGTAATCACATACTGACAGATGCTGTAACCAAATGGAGGGTAACAACTAAAGTCACCACTTACACCAAATTATGTTGAATGTTGAAGAGTTAGGGTAAAGGAGTGTGGGGAGCAAACCTTGTCTTAGATGTTGACTGGCTCAAAGGCTGATGGTTATGCCAGGGTTCTGCCACATAAAGGGAACATAAGTGATTGCACCCCCTTTATGGTGGGATGCTAGGTGACCATAGGGAATTCCCCCCCCCCTAGTATTTTTGTACAATGTAGATTTTGTTAATGGTTCACCAGTATTGATTTATTTACTCATAAGTGGAGAGTGGCATTGTGAGACCAAGGTGTGTTGTGCCAGTTGTTATTGCTAAGAATACACCAAAGTAAACCATCTAAGAGTTGAACCTGGAGCCTTTCAATGCAGAGTTGGGTGCTAAACTGAAGGCCACTACATCTCTTAAGAATGTTTAATAACTTTCAATAAAACAAGGCTAACCTCATGATCAGTGGAAAATTTAGACTATAAGCAGTCCATCCTTTTCAGGGAAGTCTGTCATGCTACTAAAAAATTTGACAGTGAAAAAGAAATTGAGGGTAGCATGCCACCGGAAACTCTTGGAGTGATGTCAGTTTGCATCACAGGAGTTCCATGAGTGAGGTGCTTCTACTTTTATTCGAGTGCCTCACTCAAGAGTTTCCCATAGCCCACTAACATTTAATTTTTTTTCACTGAATTTTTTTTACTCGCACAATGGACTTCGCTGAAAAAGAGGGTCTACTCGTCGTAGAAAAATAGAGAAAGTTAAAACGCACAATGTGATGAAATGATAGATTAAGTCCATTAAGATGTACTATTTCCTGTTATTCTTTGTCATTTAGCTGCAGAAATCTCAGCATCAAACTACTGGCGCCTGCCTTTCAAAAGCCTCTGCACATATAAGCAATTCACTGAGTACATGGTGCTCCAGATTGAGCCAGTCGACTCAAAGAATATATCTGCATCAACTACTAACCTCAGTCAAAGGGTATCTGAAATTTCTGTGTGCATGGATAAGTGCTTAACTGTGTGCTTTACTATGATTTAGTCGAGGTGACAGCAGATGCTCCAGCAATTATTTTAACCGCAAACATCCATGAGATATTATTTGACACCTGACAATCAAATTATTTGACACCTGCCAATCAAATCCATGAACCACCTGTCAGTTTGTATTCAAGTACTGATTTTAATGAAAAGTACCCTACTCCTGTGGGGGTTTCTGCCATCATGCTACTAAGGGGGGGTCTTGAAGAGATTTTTGTTGTTCACTTGAAGTCAGACTTGGCTTCTGTGGAATCAAAGATCTTAAATTTTTTATGGGTATAATTTTAGTCAATATAATTATACCATTAAAATGGTGGTTCTGATCTGGTTAAGCAAGTACCATTTAAAAATGTTATTGATGTTCGCTTTGACTTAAACAAATGATTCTCAATTATTATTAAGATGGTTTTGTTCCTTTTTTTTTTTGGTTCATCAGCATGTTCTGGCAGATGTATGGGTAGCACGGATGCAGGACCTGGGCACGAATGATTGTCAGTATCACTGCCGCACTCACTTGGGTCATCTCCTGAAGACGGGGGATACTGTTTTGGGGTAAGACCAATTCCCACCCACCACCCCTCCCTCTCTTTCATCAATTTGCGTCTAACTTTACGTACTTCTCTTTGAAAATTACTTGTGTTCTATCTTACGAGTGTAACATGGAATCTCAAAGAAAATGAGTTGTATTTTTGTGCGGACATTTAGGTTTAAAAGGAATGGTCGTGTAGATGAA